AGTAATGGCACATATATCACAAGTTTGTTCAGGAATTGTCACTTTGTTCTTCAGAGCTAAGATGCTATCTAGAGTGGAGCTACCGATGAAAGGAGCTATATAACCTTCACTTTAAACAACAAAAGCAACGGTCTAAGGCAAGCTTTTAAAGGGATACACTACCTATTTTGCTTCCACAACTACTTTAATAGCTAATCTACTAAACTTACTTTAAAACTTTTCTCTATCAATTTCAAGGGAGAGTCACTGTGTATTTGAATTTTAAGTTATATTATAACCACTTTAATTACCTTATCAGCAATAATGGCCAGAACAAAAAAAAAGAATAAATATTTTTAACAATTTTTTAAAGAGTCACAAAATATGCACAGTGGTTTAAAAATTAACACAGTACATGGGGAGGAAATGGCAGGCTTGTCCTTTCAGCTAACCCTGTATCAGGACTGTTAGTTGTCAAACTCAAGCCACTCCTTCCTCCTTCCCAGCCATGTGAGTCAGAGGCAGACACCTCCCTGAGAGGTGTTCAGTCTCACAGTGGAGGGAACTGGGTCTCTGTCACTATTGAGCCACTGTACAGCATTCCTGCAGTCACGTGAACTTGAAATGTTTCCTTCTGTGAAATTTTCCTTTTCATTTAAAGCAGTGCATTTGAGGTTTTCTTATATTTGGAACATAAACAATCATAACTGATGCAAAGCATATTACTTTGTTGGGCATTTTAAACACATTTAGCCGCCTACTCTTCAACCCTAAAACATACTCAAGAGGTGAATTGGATACAAGGAAATGAGAGGCCTCACTCATACACTTTTAAGAACAGCAAGAACTGCCATTGGTCAAGAAAAAAAAAATCAGAAAAGAGAATTTAAAAATACAAAACTCCAGGTCATTTAGTATTGGAGTATAGAATGTCCTACAACTTAAAAGTCCACCCAGTCATTGGATTAAAGAAAACAACACAAAAACTATCTACTTAAAGAAATTCCTATTTAAAAACACTCATTTGCTGAGAACTTCAGGCATCTTGGATCATACCCTACATGTATACCAAAATGCAGTGTTCCATAATCACTGGAAATCAGCGTCTATTTGGGTTCAGAAGCACACTGAAAAAAATGATTAGGTCTCAAGGCCAGTTCATGAAAGCCCATTTGACTCCAAATGGACCTGAAGTAGGCTGACAACTATAGCAGAAGGTAAAAGGATGGACAATCCATACCCTCTGGAGATTATTTTGCTGCTCTGACATCATCTGGACCTGAGGAAAGAGGCCCTCTCTAACAGGAACATGAGGTAGGAAATACTCCTTTATAAGATGCTGTCTGTCACTGAATGGCTCAAGCTAAGGCTGGCTGGCAGTCAGTTGTGGAGGAGAAAAACAGGGAGAGATGACCCTGGACTCCCCCAATGCCATTTCCAAGTTTTTCATATCTCTTTGGATTCTGAGGGGCCAAAAAGATACTATGAATGACAGATGCTCTGTTGCCCCATCAGTGAGGCACCTGATGGCAGACACATGCCAACAGCAGGAAGAATTCCTCCTTGCTAGTGTCACTGCCCACCCTGCTACTGCCTGAAATACCCAGACAAAGGCTCATGGAGCCATCACAAAGAGCAGCACACTTTAATTTTTGGAGCTTTGATATGGGAAATGAGATGGGTATACAATTGCTACCTTCTCTGTCTAGCTGGTTTTGGATTTTGACTCTCATATCTAGAGGAATGCACTTGACTTCCAAAACCCAGGGTAGCCACGCTTTCCTCCATGAAGGCTCCTCAGAGTCTTCCTGGTTGAAATTAGTGATGCTTCCTCAGAACCCTTATAGTAGCTTTTCCATTCGGTCCCTACTATAGTCATTTGTGGTCATGTCTTCACTCCCTTATTAGAATATAAAATCTTAAAGCAGGATCCAGGAGAACCTTGTTAAAGGTAAGGGGGATGGGCTATTTCCCTCTACAATCTAAGCAATTGGTTGGGGCAACTGGACCAGCACACTGAGGAAAGGATTTGGAGATAATAGCTTTCATCCAACATGAACTCATTTGCATATTAGGTGGGCATGTGCAGGTGTCTGCTGGATGTCTGTTGTGTGTTGAGCATTGACTTGGATTTCAGGAGAGGGGTAATGTGAACAGGAGCTGGACAACCCATTTCCCCTCCAAAACTCAGAGTCTAATAATAGATACTATCCCTCCCATTGATCCTCAACATCAACTCAGAGGTAGAATTAGAAATCAGGACATGTCTGGCCATTCAAAAAAGTGGTAATACTGTAACTGGTCACCTGGGGAAAAGGTATAAAATTCCTATTTTATGCCACTTGACTTTGGAAGTTCAAACATACATGAGGATATCCTGGCCTTATTAAAATGTCTCTAGAGATAGGTAGGGACAGATTTCATAAGGTGTTACGGTCCCCATCATGGAGATTTGGGGGGAAAATGAAAAGTAAAAGGAAGAGCATGAAGTAGGATATATACGTCATAGGGTAGACATGAGCACAGACCCCTGAGCCAGCTTGCCCAGGTCTGAATTGCAGCTTGGAAATTAACTTGCTGTGTGACTTTGGCTGGTTGGTTAAACTCTCTCAGTCTCATTCTCTTCATTTGTGAAAGGGAATAAAAGTATCTTTCTTACAGAAAAGTGATGATGAATAATAAAAGTTAGTGTAGCTCAGAGCTCAGAAGAATCTGTTTCATTTTCTGCTGTTTGGGCTGAGCGTAGCTTATGACTAGGAATGGACAATCTCACGTGTACCACTAAGGTTAGTCCTTTGCTGAAGAGACACAAACTTACCTCTTAGCACCACTGATAAAACATCCCTGAGAGAGCTGACTGCCAACCCAGGGAGTAAAGGAACTTGTAGATCCCTATGGACCCAACTGAAGGCTTCCCACTTAATTGCAACATTCACAACTAACCAGGCAGTGTAAAATACCGTCATTCTGTGTGCTCTATTCTGGTTCAGGGCATGGACAGGCATGTAATTACTTCAAGGAGACTTCAGTCTAGACACTCATCCTCCTGCAATATCCAAACTCCTCTAGAATGGAGCAAGTCTTCTTTTGTTTGGGTTTAGTTCTGCCCCTTCATCTTCCTATCTAAGCTTCAGCTTCTAGTCTTTGGTCCACAAGCTTTCCTGCTAATCCCAAGACTCTTAGACTTCATTGTGTCATTTTTCTGTGTAACTCACTTGGTTGGGTGAGGATATAAAAGATGAAAACAAAAGTGAAATGACATTTCCCATCAGGATTAGGATTAAAGTGTGATGATATCAAATATTTTTCAAGGGTCTGGGTAAAGGATCTCCTATAAGACAAAGTTAATCAGTACACCTCCAGGCAGTATTGACTAGAAGTGAAAGTGCACATTCCTCCCGACCAAGCCAAAATAAGGTTCCTGTACCCAGAGGAATTTTCTTTGGAGAGTGAGCCACATACCAAGAACATTTATTGTGCCTTGTTTGGAACAGAGAAAAAACTAAAAAACAACCAAAACACCCAGTAATAAGGAAATGGCTAGCTGGTATATCCTCTGCAGTATTTAAACCATGAGCTATATCCAGATGTACTAATTGATAAGAGGTTACATAACAATATTTATAGGCTGAAATTTGTGAACCGCACTGCCTGCTCAATTCCTTTGTTGAGGTGGTAATCCCCAGGCTCTCAGACTGACTGTATTTGGAGAGTCTTTAAGAGGTAATTACAGTTAAAGGAGCTATGGGCCTTAATCCAACATAATTGGTGTCCTCATATGAAGAGGAGAGGAGGACACAGACAGGCACACCCAGAAGGAAGACCATGTGAAGACACAAGGAGAAGATGGCCATCCGTAAGTCAAGACCTCAGAGAAACCAAACCTACTGACAACTTGATCTTGAACTTCACAGCATCCAGAACTATGAGAAAATAATTTTTTGTTGCTTAAGCCTCCAACTCTCTAGTACTTTCTTATAGCAGTCTGATCAGACTAATGCCCACCAGCAGAGGTTTCCTAGGGATGTGTACAGATGCATGTTAGGAATGAATAGCAGGATGGAAGGGTGACCCAGGCTGGAAACAATGCTCACCTTTGGGGAGAAATTAAGATCAGGATTGTAGATGGTGGCTGAAAGGGATTTCCATCTTAAAAATAAAATTTGATCTTTACAATGAGAAAAGTAACCATACAGTTGGGCATAATACTCAGCGTTAGAGCTTTTACTTATCATGCACAAGGCCTGGGGCTCAATCTCCAGTGCTTCAAAAATAAAAATGAAAGATAAAAATGTAACTCTCTTCCATGGTACAGGATGCTAAGAATGCAGGGCGCAAGCTATTTTGCCACTTGGATCCAGCTCTTTCAGGGGCTTCTTGTCAGTGCCTCTCTCCCACCCTCACACCCCTGTGCCACACCAGACCATCCTGTCTCTGTAAGGCCTCCATGCCTCTGTCGGGCCCCCTCTGCTTGGCACACCTGTTCCCTTTTTTACACCAGTGTTGCTGATCTTTGTCCTTCACACTCCAGCTTGAATGCCAATCACTTTACAAAAATGACCCGAAAAGTCTTCCTGATTTTGTAGAGGCACAGCTCCCTTTTATTTCCAAATCTTTTCTGTACTGATGTCTCTGGTTCAAAATCAGAGCGGCAGCCAACTAAATGTTCATTTGGTTCCAAATGAATGAACAACTGTAATGTTTTCTAGCATGTTCCTTTGCCATTTAGTGCACCTCTAAGGCCACCTCAATGTGTAGACTCCCGAGAGGCCAGAGCTGTAATCAGGACACGAGAGAGGTCCTAGCCTGCTACTCTTGTAATGTAACATGACAACTATATTTCTGGGTCAGCTAAGACCCATTTGCTTTCAATTCTAGTGAAATCAACCAGAAATGTATTGCAATTTATTTTATTCAATTCTTCAGGAAGTTTTTATTACTTAATATGCAATAGGTATAAATAAAAAACTTCCACTGATCTCTGACTGGGAGGCTCAGATAATGAATAATGCTGGGCTTACCTTTTCATCGGCTTGGGCGAGCATTCTCTCTCCAGATTGGAGGATGTATGTTTCACGTGCATTGCATTATAGGAAGTATGAGTGTAGTCATTTTCATCACTGTAGTCAGGACCAAGTAACGTCCGGGCCCATGTTCCCATGTCATAAGGAGGAAGGGTTCCTCCAAATTCAGAGGGCAAAAATTCAGGATGTATTAGTTGGTGAAGGCTATTTAAATTATTTCCATGCAGGAAAATCTGGAAAGAAAAAATAATTACCAATAACAAATCTGAAGCATGATCAATTATTTAATCTAATATACAATTTAGCAATGACAAATTGGATGCGCTGCTGGTGATCATAGCGTTTAAAGAGGCATTCATTTTGTGCCTGTAGCTTAGTCATCATAAAATGTTAATTTGTTGCTCAGAGAAGGGGCTGAATTAATCATAGTTTAAAATGAGTTTTATGAACAGATTGGGTATTATCTGGTCATGGCTCAGATTCATACCTACAGTCATTTTCTAATTATCCCTGCTAATGACAGGAGCTAGGCTGTGCACCACCCCAATCCCTGATCATCTCAGACTGCTCCATTCTCTCTGCTGAGCACTCTGGCCCTTGGTGCCTCCCTCAGGCTTGCCCTCCTCACCCTGGAAGAAAACACAGCTTCTTCCTAAATCTGTTCCAGGAGAGCCTGCTTATTCTGGTTCTCCCTGCCCACCTGCCAATGAACTCTTTGGTATCTACTGACTTCTAATGTTTTGCCCCCAAAGTGTTCATTTATGTCTTGCTTCCCTGCAGGAGAGAACACATGTACAATGAGATGGTGTTGTCTTATTCCTTTACAATCTTCCATTCTTACTCAGTGGAATTGAAAATTATTGTTTGAGAATGCACTGTGAGATATTTGTGCAGGAATTTTCCATCTCTGTCTACATTTGGGGCTATTACCTGAATAAGTTTGCATTTTCTGAACATAAAATGGGTAATGATAGAAATTGGTCTAACAAGGGAGAAAAATCAAATTACAATTATTTTCAGAGAAGCCCGCAAGATGGGTATACCAAAACTAGGTAATTACCATTCACTGCAGTTTAGGAATTGACTCTGAAACTTGATTTAAAGTGCATGTATCTAATAAAATCAGTTCCTGCCCTTAGAACAAGGACCATGACATTTGAATGCATGAAATAATTAACTACACATAAGTTATGCATAATTAATTATATGTAACAAATAAATTGCACTAAAGTATAAGACCATCAATTATACAGACATGTATGCAGATGCATACACACACACCACAGTTAATCATGAAAAAATTTCAATATTATTTTTAAAATATTTAAATAGTAGGACCTTGATAAAACAATTGCTACCTTTTGCTTCTGTATTCATTTTAACTTATTATGTAATGGTATATTTCAAGATAAGGGAGAAAAGAAGCCAAGTGCTAAATTCTTCAGAACTCTGTAGCACTTCAGAAAATAATATACATTTTCTGACATTGCGGACGGGTAGGACCAAATTTTAATAAAAATTATTTCTTTTTTAAAAACTTCAACTATTCTGGCTTACACAAAACTCCTTAGAGAGTGCTGTAGTATTTGAAGCATGCTAAAGTTAAATAGTCTCCCTGGTATTCAAAGTAAACATTTCTCCCCAGGCACCCAATACTGTATGTCCAGTTCTTAAGGAACTGAGGGTGCTGCTGAAGAGGGCCCTCTATTCTGGGTATCTTGTGGAATGAAGAACACAGAGGTAAAGGGCTGGAGCCTGCACCTGCCACAAGCTGTCCGAGGCCCAAAGCTCCAGAAGCTCCTTTCTCTGACTGAGCAACAAGTATCCATTGTAGGAGGAAGGAAGGCACTAAGAAGCCCAAAGCCATATTGCAACACTGTAGGACATTTCTGTCCTTGGCACTCTCCTGAGCCTAGACTGATTGTAAAGTGTCTGGGAGTGTCTCTGCCTCCTAGCACTGCTGAATTCTAGTTCTTATTTCTATGGTTGTTCAATGATAGCGGAGCTATCTTTCCCTAAAAACCTAGAAGAAGCATCCATTCCAAGGTCTATGAATTAAGAATCCTACAGTGTGTGTGTGTGTGTGTGTGTGTGTGTGTGTGTGTGTGTGTAGCCTTACATCATGATCCCCTCTAAATACACAGAGTTCTCCCTAGGGCTGAGTCTCCCAGGTGTCTATATACGAAAGGTGTTGTGAGAATGACCCTGGCTAGGTTCCCTCAGGGAGGGATGCTCCTGACCCAGGAGGCAGCCAAAATCAGAACACCCCAAAGAAAACATTGCAGCACTAATCACAATAGACAAGCTAGGGAAACCCCAAGTGTCTGCCCACAGATGAATAGATATAGAAAACGTGACATGTACATCTATACTCACACAATGGAATATATTAGCCTTTAAAAATGAGGTCCTGACATTTTTGATAATATAAGTAAATTTGGAGAACCTTATGTCAAGTGAATTAAGCCAGGTACTGAAAGACAACACATGATTTCACTTATATATGGAGTCTAAAAAGCAATCAAACTCCTAGAAGCAGAGAGTAGAAGGATGGCACCAAGGACTAGGTGTGGGGAATGGGAAGATGATGGTGAAAGGGAACAAAAGTTCAGTCACTCAAGATGAATAAATTCTGGAGATCTAATGTAGAGCACAGTGACTCTCATTAATAATACTACATTATATACTTAAAACTCACTAATGGGGTTCACCTTAAGTGCTCTTACCACACCAAAAGTAAAAGAGAAATTCTTAAAGTCATAACTATGTGAGGTAATGGAGGTGGTTAACTGACTTCTAGTGACCATTTTAGTATATATGTATGCTAAATCAACATACCATATACCTTACCTATACCAGTTTTTATTTGTCAAAGTATAGCTAGAAAATAAGAAAAAAGAGGGCCCAGGGATTTAGCTCAGTGGTTCCTCCACATGCCTTGGAAGCTCAAGGTCCCGAGTTTGATCTCCAGTACCAAAACAAACAAACAAACAAGAAAATAAGAAAAAAGAGGTAAATTGTAAAAAGAAATAAGAGTCACTGAGTGGTATACAAATAGAATGATGTCACCTGCTTTCACAAGCTGCCTCATCAATTTATCCCAATAGTTCTGTGACATAGGTATTAGTTTCCCCATCTTACAAATGAGGAAACAGATTCAGAGTAGTTAAGAAATGCTCAACTACTCAGTTAATCACAATGTCATAAAAGCCCAGCTCTGATGAAAGAGATTAGCTTCCCAAATGTCAACAATGTAATTAATATTTTAAAATACTATGAGAGCATGATTATTTCCAATAAAGAATGCTTTCTAGCCTTAGAGGTTATGGAGCTGGCAGTTCCAACCCAAGTGCCATGAGAGAGTATAAAAGAAAAGATAAACATTCTTTAAGTAACACTACATTTATAGAACAAAATCTAGTATTAAAACATTCTAGGAACAGAAGTAACTTGGCCCATATCTCCCATAAGTATTTATATTAAAATGGGCATCTGGTATTGTATGCCTTTAGTTTCCTTTGGTTTGTCACTGGGACTCTGAAAATAACCCAGTTCTGCTGAATTATTGATTAAATCCAGGCCATTTGCAAACTCCAACTGAGGCTCAAATACTCATGGGTTACAGAAAAAAATATAGTGAAAGATTAGTTTGAGGCTGAGAAGAATATACCATAATTGTTCCTGATAGTCCCTATTTGGAATTTACGTATTAGTTTTCCTTACCCGTTTCCTGGTCTTGTCTTTAAGGAATGGCTTGATGAGTGTATACAGAGCATGAATGTACCAGGGCTGGTTGACAAAATGGACTCCTCCAAAGCGGGCAGGAAAGCTGTCCTAAGTAGGAAAGAGAGAAAGGCACATCAGTGAATGAGCATCCAGGTTAGATTGGATCAGCAAGATCATACCCCTGGGGACAACCTGTTTCGTGCTGGTCAATGACTGAGTCTCCTGGTAGAGAAAGAATGAGGACACATTCAACTTCCTAGCTGTTATCATGTTCTCCTTTCTTCTTGTCTCTCTCCACTTTGACTCCACAACTTGAAAACTGTGCATAGTGTCAGAACAGTCTTTTAGCTCTATGGAGAGGGGAGTCTGAGTTCTTCACAGCCTTTAGTCAACCCTGGCCTCAGTTCCCACAGGCTCTAAGTTCTCATCTCTCTTTCCTCTCAAATTCCCTTCTTCTCCTCCCGCCTTCTAATGATGTTGCATTACCATGACCATAGCTAAACTTTCTGCTAAGTGGCTGTGTAGGAAAGGGCTGCAAAGGAATTTCAAATGCTCTCTGGAGGCAAGCTTTCTGAATTGACCAAAGTCTGAAAAGGTTTGTAAACACTTCACAGTTTCTGCAGCTATTGCCTCACTCTATTCTAGGAGCACACAGTAGGTCCCAGAGAAAACATACTGGCTGATGAAGGTATCAATGGATTCCCCTAATTTAGCCATATGAGCATCATTTTGTACAGACCAACAAGAAAATATCAAGAAATATGACATTTAAAAATGGTTTTGATTTTGGATTCCAGATAAGCACATGTGCTTCTGAGAAGCTGTGGACTGCTTTTTGTACAAATTAGATCCATGGGACAAGGAACCCTGGCCATAATGTCTCTTATTAGTCCTGAAAGAACAGGTCCTGGGATCCTGATGAATGGCTTCAGCAAATTAGGTTCATCTTGGCTAATGGAATTAAAAAAGAAGGAACATAGAAACACTATTTGAATTGCCAAGTGTGCTGTCAATCAATTTCATTGCAAGAAACATCTCTGTAAAGTGTTGGCAAAGTGACATGAAAGCAGAGAGAGCTAACAGTTCAGGCAGCAAGCTGCTCCCTGTGGGTGTATGAAGTGCCTTGCCTGGATCATTTTTAGTAGCAAGGAAAGGGGATTATTAACTTTTCTTCAGAACTCTGAGTCTACATGAGCTCTAGGAATTTTCCACATTGAGACCTGGTTTCCAACATAAGTACACGAAACTATGCTTAAAGGTTGACATTTGAAAAACTGTAAAATAATTTTTACTCCATCTAGATATTTTATAAAGTAGAAAATAATTAAATCTCTTGGCTACACTAGACAATTTCAAGAAAATGTTCTTGTTTTTAGGATTTTTTTTTTTGCTCAATTTACTTATTTTAAAAAACTTTTTGGAACCATCAAGTATAGTGGTAGAGAAATTGTTTATACTAATTTGTACATTTGTCATGGATATCTCCGTATTCCAAATATTATTTCAGAGGTATAAAAGTTCTTAATAAAGTTGTCTTTTGTACATACATTTCAGGATCTAAAAATGTTTTTGGTTCCTTACAAAAAGAGACCATGTCTCAACTCCTCAGTCAAAAGACACAGATTGACAAAATGGATTAAGAAACAAAACCAAAGATATGCAGTACATAAGAAACACATTTAATTCAAAAAAATTCACAGATTAAAAATCAAAGGTTGAAAAACATTTATCATGCAGCAGGAATGTGGGGAAAAAAAGAGTAACTATCCTAATTTCAGAAAAAGTGAATTTCAAGATAAAACTGATCAGAAGAGACAAAGAAGGCCAGTATATATATATATATATATATACTGCTTAAGGGAAAAATTTAGCAAGAAGAGATAACAATTATAAACATTTATACACCAAACTTCTACACATCCAACTTCATAAAACAAACACTACTAGACATGAAAATTCAGATAATCACCAATACAATTGTAGTGAGGGACCTAAATATTCCACTGCTCCAAATAGACAAGTCATATAGAAAAGAATCAACAACTATCAAAGTTGAAATAAAACTTTGAACAAATGGACTTAATAGATATCTACGAGTATTCCACCCAACAACAGAACACACACTTTTCTCAGCATCACATGGGACTTTCTCAAAATAGACCACATACTAGCCAATAAAGCACGATTAGTATATGCAAAAGAATCAAGATTATCCTGTGCATATTATCAAACCAAAGCACGATGAAATCAGAAATCAATGGCAGAAGAAACCACAGAAATTATGCAAACATGAAAATTAAACAATACCTTCTTAAATAATCAATGGGTCTCCGAATAAATTAAGGAAGAAATTAGACAATTCCTAGAATTAAATGATAATGCCAATGCAACATACTGGAACCTATGGGACACAATGAAAGCAGTCCAAAAAGAGAAGTTTATAGTTGTGAATGATCACATCAGGAAAACAGTAAGCTCACATAAATAACCTTTTGATATACCTCAAGGTCATAGAAAAGAAGAACAGTTTAAACCCAAAGGTAGCACAAGAAAGGAAATTATGAAGTATAGAACAGAAATAAATGAATTAAAAATTAAAAATACAAAGAATCAATGAATCAAAGAGCTCATTCATTGAAAGATTAAACAAAATAGACAAACCCTCATCCAATCTTACCAAAACAAGGAAAGAAAAGACCCAAATCCATTCAATTAAAAATGGACAAGGCAAAAATCACAAAACATTCTGCCAATATCCAGAAGATCAAGAGTAACTTCTTTGAGAACCTATACTCAAATAAAATGGAAAATTTGGAAGAAATGTGTAGGAGCTTCAGTGGTGCAATCATTTAGTGCCTGGTACTTATTCAGAAGAAATAGATAGATTCCTAGGTACCTATGAGCTACCAGAGCTGAACCAAGAAGACATAAAAATCCTAAATAAGCCAGTATCAGTCAATGAAATTGAAGAAGTAATTTGAAAACTGCCAAGCAAGAAAAGCCCAGGTCCAGAGAGATTGAGTCCCAAATTCTACAAGAACTTTAGAAAAGCTCTAACATCAGTACTCTTCAAACTCTTTAATGAAATCAAAAATGAAGCAGTACGCCCAAAGTCATTCTAGGACCCAGTCATTACCCTGATGCTGAAAATGAAAAGGACACAACCAAAAAAGAGAACTATAGGCCAATCTCTTAAATAAGCATTGATGCAAAAATTCTCAATAAGGTATTGGGAAATAGAATGCAAAAAAATCATGAAAAAGATTGTATGCCGCTACCAAGTAGGCTTCATCCTGGAGATGCAGAGATGATTTAACATAAGGAAATCAATAAATGTAACACACTATATAAAGAGAAGCAAGGAAAAATATCACATAATCATCTCAATAGACACAAAAGCATTGTGCAAAACCTAACATCCATTCACGATAAAAAAAAAAAACCTGAAGAAAATGGAGAGTCTTTATCTCAATTTGATAAAAGTCATTTATGACAAATCAACAGCTGACATCATCTTAAATGGTGAGAAGCTGAACACTTTCCCTCTAAAATCAGAAACAAGACAACTCCTGTTCAATATAGTTCTCAAAACATTAGTCAGAGCAATCTCACAAGAGAAAGAAATAAAAGGAATATTAATAGGAAAGGAAGAAGTTAAATTACCATTATTTGCAGATGACATGACCCTCTACATAGAAGACCCCAAAAACTCCACCAAAAGACTCCTAGAATTAATAACCAAATTCCGTAGAATAGTGAAATACAAAGTCAACACTAAAATTTTATAGCATTCCTGCACACCAATAATAAACTCACAGAGAGAGAAATTAGGAAAACAACACCTTTCACAATAGCATCAAATAAGATGAAATACTTAGGAATCAACTTAATCAAGGAAATGAGAGACTTCTATAATGAAAACTACAGTACTCTGATAAAAGAGATCAAACTGGATATCAGAAAATGGAAAAGATATCCCCTAGTCCTGATTAGGCAGAAACAATGTAGTCAAAATGGATATATTTCCAAGACTATTATACAGATTTAACACAATTCCAATCAAAATGTCAATAGAATTCTTCACACAACAAGAGAAATTAATCCTAAAATTCATATGGAACTAGAAGAGACCTAGAATATCAAAAGCAATTCTGGGCAACAAAGGAAAGGCAGAAGGCATCACAACCTCAGACTTCAAATTATACCACAAAGCTACAGAGATAAAAACAGCATAGTATTGGGGAAAAGAAAAACAGACATACGGATCAACAGAACCGGATAGAGGATACAGAAACAACTCCAGGCACACTCAGCTAACTTATGTTGGATAAAGGAGCCAAATACTATAGCTGGAGGAACGGTAGCCTCCTTAACAAATGATTTTGGGAGAACTGGCTATCCACATGCCAAAGACTGAATTAGACCCATATTTCTCACCATACACTAAGCTAAAATTATAATGGATCAAAGATCTAAATATTAAAATGGAAATATTGAGGCGATACTCTTAAGTGAAAAAAATAGGACACACGTGTAAATACTGAATAGTTTCTCTGGTGTGAGAAACTGAAAGTGTAAATAAGGACTAAAAGGTACAATGGATAATGCAAAATAGGAAGAAAAGGGGCAAAGGGGAAGGGGACGGGAGAGGGGGGTGGGTAAAGAAAGACAGAAATTGAATTAATGTGAGAAAAAGAAAAAATGGAAACAAAGTCTTTGTAGATAGGGAGGGATGGAGGGGTTGAAGGGAGGGCAGGGGAATGGGAAAAAAATAAGAACCAAGGGAGATTATGTAAAGGTGCAAATTTCCAATGATGAATGTCATTATATCGTATACCTTAAATGTACCAATAAAATTAATAAAATGGAAACTTCTAAAGTGCTGGAAGACAATTCTCTTGAAGATATAAGCACAGGCAAAGACTTTCTGAACAGAACCCTGGTTGCATAAGAAACAATACAGTAAGTCCCCAACTTACGAATGAGTTCAGTTCCAGGAGAACATTCATAAATTGGATTTGGTTGTAAGTCCAACAAAGTGAGTCTTATATACCTTTAAGATAAAGATACATTGTATATTGCTTTTCATTTCCTAGCAGTCCCCACCA